CTGAAATCAATAAAAATATATTACAAAAACAAACAAAACAAAAAAAGCCTGTGTGCTCAGGTTGCCTGGAGGATTAGGTGAAGTGAGGCCTGTAAAAATACCTGGCACATAGTAAGTACTCAGTAAAAAGGGGAGTGAGGTTGAGATATTGATTGATTATATAGATTTCTTGATGGTAGAGACTTGCCTTAATTATTATGAAACCCCAACCAATTTTGTGGCACCAAGAAGAAGTTGTGTTTGCTCAGCCAAACAGATGCAACACACACACACACACACACACCAAAGAGTGATGAATTTTGTGACTTCATGTTATTGGAACTTCTTGGTAGGGCTCTGATTTTAGATGACTAAATCATAGCTAAGATAACCAGTGTGATTTGGCTGTGGGTGGCTGTTTGTTACACAACTTGAATGTTTTTCAGTTATTTTCAAAATATGAACAGTTGCTTTCAAAGCACTTTGATTTTTTTTTTGGCTGGATATTATCAGGATCTCTTTCTCTCTCTGGGTCTTTCCTTGTTATTGAGCATTTGCTATGCAGCAGACACTGTGCCAGCTGTTTTACCTTTATTATTTCAACTAACCTTATAGGAAGGTTTTGTTATTTCCATTACTCAGTTGAGAATCTTGAGGCTCAGAAAGTCTGAGTCATCCAAGACCACTGTTAAGACTACAACTCTTTAATGGCAGAACAAAAATTTGAACTCAGATCCATCCCTCTGAGTTGTAAAATAGGGGCAGAGGCCAGAGACAGCAATCCTTCTCTTGTCTTAGTATTGAGCTCACTACTTTGCGGAGAAAAATCCATCTACTTCCTTATTATTTTTAGAGGATCCTGACACTGTTCCTGGCTGTGCTAAGCCCATCATATACTATCTTATTTGATGCTATTAATAATCTGGCAGGGTAGATATTAATATTAGACCTAAATATCAGAAGAGATAATTATTGAGGTATTCATAGTTTATGTAATAAGTTCCAAGTAATTCAGGCTGTAATTGGCACAATTTAACCTAGGTAGTCAGACTCTCTCGCGAACTCTTATAAGTCTCTACTGATTTTGTTAGTGTCCACAAGGTCATGTGGTCTCCATTTTTCTGGGAACATCCTTATGACTTATCTAGAACTTAACGTCTACTCTTTTTGGTGGTGCCCATCCCCAGACTCTCCTCATTCCTGAGAATAAATAATGGAAATCGAGGATATGGAAGACATGGAACCATAGGTCAATAGTTTTAATGTTGAAATATTTCTCCAAGAGGTCATCCAGTCCACTGGTCTCCAACTGTGGGGAATGACCTGTGTAGTGGGTTATAAAATCAACTTAGTAGTTCATGACCAACATTTCAAAATCAAAAAAAAAAAAAAAGAAAAGAAAATAGAGCGTATCGCACTGAAGGTGAGGTCATGTTGAGAAACAGTTTTCTCCGTTTTCTCAGGCTGTGTCCTCTGAGTCACCCTGTGAAATGCATTGCTTATGGAGGATCCCTTTTCACAAAGTTTGGAAGATGTTGGCTTCACTCAATAGTTTTTAAATTTTGTTCTATGGCCTCCGAGGAGGCCTGAGATACCTTAGGGGAGATGAGGATTGGAGAAGTTGAGTAGGAGGAAGAACTTCAGGAATGTCCCCTCTTCTAGCTAAAGTATTTCCATGTTCATCTGGTTTCCATGTTGGATTTTCATGTAGTATTTAATCTTTTTTTAAAAAAATTATTTATTTTTTATATATATATTTTTAAATTGATTTTAGAGTGAAAGGAAGGGAGAGATAGAATCATAAATGAGAGAGAAAGATCAGTCAGTTGCCTCCTCATACTTTCCATCAGGGACTGAGCCCACAACCCATGCATGTGCCCTGACTGGGAATCAAACCAGTGACTTCCTGGTTCATGGGTTGACACTCAACCATGGGGTAACACCAGCTGAGCATATTTAATCTTAAATAAAAAGACTTAACTGGAAAAAATGCATGAACCATTGATTTATCTCATTGGAATTGTGTTGCATTGAGTATAGATTCATTTTTGCGTGACTTTATGTGGCAACCAATGACCAGCTGTGTGCCCAGCACTGTGAGAGCTGCCATAGACACACAGCAATGTTTTCGCATATTAGGTAGAGTTTATTTTCCTGCTTTTTGTTTTTGGGTTGGCCCTGTAATTTGCTTTGCTCAATAGAATGTGATAGAAGGGATTTGTGCCATTTGAATCTATTCCTCAAGCATGCAGCCTCCATTCTTGGATCCTTGATCCCTGATACCAACATGTAAATAATCCTGGCTAGCCTTCTGGAAGAATACAGACCGCGTGGTGAGAGACCCAGGTATCCTAACTGAGGCCATCCTATACCAACTAACATCTTGCCCATTTGTCATCTGATTGATTGCAGATACACAAATGAACCCCGATGCCCAGCCCAGACTAGAGAAATTGTCTGGTCTACCCACAGAATCATAAGCTCACTTTTAGAGTGCTTATTGGGCATCAAATTCTAACAGATGCACCCACTTTCCTGTACTGGCAAATCCCCATTAGAAGACAATGCCATGACCACACCGGACTGACAAAATTAGCTAGAAATGTTAACAAACTAGAATGTGTTCAGATCAGAGCAAGGAGAAGGTGGATAAGAAGTTAAGGAAACTTAACTTGGAAAGTAAGGATGTTTATAGGGGCACAAGCTCTACCTTCTGAGATTTGACAATAGTGGAAGAAGTGGGATGAATTCTTTGTAACTTCTATGGTGAATTAAATGATTGGCTGCAACTTGCATATCATTGTCTCTATTCCTGCCATGGTGGGCAGAGTGTACTCTCCTCTTGAATACCCCCCCTTTTTTTTTTTTTGACATTGGACTTGGATCTGTGACTTGGTTTGACCAATGAAATGTAGGCAGAAGTTACAGAGTGCCTATAGTGGACTTACTCTCCTGTATTCCTGCCATCACCATAATAACATCACCATAATAAGCATGTCCCAGTTGGCCTGGTCCCAAAGGAGGATGAGAGAAAAGCAGAGGACAGCCATGCCCACCAGCAACAGAGCCTTTTCAGCAGCCCATAGGGTCATGAGTGAGAAATCAATGCTTATTGTTATATGCTCTGAGGGTTTTGGTATTGATTCAGACCCAGTCCTATTTGACCAAAATACTTTAGAGATTGAAATTAGGATCCATGAACAGCTGTATCAAGGAAGCAAACTTCCATTGCATTTAAGGAGGGATCTTTTTGCCGAGGAAAAGAACTGTCCCAAGGTGAAACATACGGTATAATTAGGACTCCCTTCATGGGATATTGATCCATCAGGAAGCTATACATGGTCTTCTTACTTAGAATTGGGGGGGGGGGCACACTTTCATTTCGGAGTGAGTAGGATGCTAAGCAATGTAGGGAATGGTTAGGAGGTAATTTCAGTTGTGTTTTAGCCCAAAGTGGGGATGAGCATGGAGGGGTAGGTATGTGTGCAGAGAAGGCGCTGGTTGGGAAGAGTAGAGGCTGTCAGGAGATTTGAATGCCCCACTTGGATTTTGACCTTTGATTTAAACCTGTGTGAGTTTGTTATTTAGCGAGGAACCCCTCCTTCTTATCTCTTAGTTCCATTCATTCCTGAAGATCCTGCTCAAGTCCAATATTCTCTGTGCAAATTTTCCCTGACCTTTTCCAGCCTGCAGGGTCCAACCGATCTCTGAACTCTTTCATCTTGGCTGTCTTAACTTTTTCCTTGACTTTTTTCAGACTGAGACAGATGTTTTCCAATTGCTCACATAGTATTTCCTCACTGCTCTGTACTGTGCTCGTCTCTCCTTAAAATTGTGAGCTGGTTGAAGGCACGGAGTGTGGCTTACTCACCCTGGAGTCCCTCTTATCTACCGCAGTGCCTGGTACACACTGGGGCTTCAGTAAACATTTCTTGAGTGAGTAGATGTAGATTTCTTTCATCTTTCTGACGCAACTGTCAACTCCTGAATGGCAATTGGTACTTACATCCTCACAGTGTTTCAAGGCCTGTGCATTTATTCAATCAACAAATATTTGATGAATGAGCCTAACCCTGGCTTACAAAACCCTGTGTCATCTGGCTCCTACCTACTCCAATGACATCATCTTGTGTAATTCCCCCTCACTCACTGTCCTGCTCAAGCCACACTGGCCTTTTCTCAGCTCTTTGAACCCTTAAAGCTCATTCTCACTGCAGGTCTTGCCTAGTCTCCTTGACTGCAATCTCTTCCCTTTGATCTTCTATGGAGTCCTCCTTGTCATTCCGATCTCAGTGTAAAGGTCACCTCCTTCAAGATTCCTGTCCTGAATGCTGAATCCGTGGTGCCACCTTGCCTCTCTTCATTACATCTTCAATCCCAGTTCTCTGCGGGACATTCATGAGGTTTTGATAATTTACTTATTTCCTCCCTCTCCTCTTCCTTCCTTCCTTCTTTCCTCCCTTTCTTACTTCCTTCATTAGTATGCTTCTTTATTGACTGATTGTCTCTCTCAGCTAAAATGTAAACTTCATGGTAACAGGTAACTTTTTGGTCTTATTCATTGTTGTATCCCTAATGTATGATAACTATATATTGAGTGAATGGATGAATGAATGAATGAATGAATGAGTGAATATGGATCCAGTTCTCAGCTGTGCATTGTGAATACAGTAGAAAGAAGACAGACAAGATTCTTGCCTTCAAGTATTTTACAGTTTTTGCTGAGTGAATAATCATACACATGGTACAGTAGAAAAAACAAAACCAAATCAGTAAACAACAAACACAAAACAAAGCAGACTGGAGTATATGTGGCCCATCTGATGTACTTAGATCTCAGCTTCCTCTGTGAAATGAGAAAAGTAATATTTACACATATTCATCCCTGGGACATGTGCAGTTAAATGTATTAAAGAAGCTTATATCGGCCTACCCATCTGGTCTACTTCAGAGAACTGAACTTCAGCTCCAAGTATGGCTTTGATGGTTTCAATCCAGTGACGACAATGCTTCTGTCGTAGGCCCTCCTGGAGTGTTAACCGTGGAGGTGGAACTGATATAGTTCATGGTACTGCATTGCACCATGGACTTGGATTCCTCTGAAGCCTTAGTGTGACCGGGAGGTCTCATTAGTTGCTGTGCCAGCCACTGAAAAAGCATGAAGAGTCAGGACACGCTGTAGAAGGGCTGGTCTCTGCAGAGGTGCAGTGGAGAACTGCTGGTCATGCCTGAAGTGCCAGCATTGGATGGATTAAAAAACAGCACCACCATTAGCAGCCACCTGCACGGACACTCGCTGGCACTGTTCTGCTCCATTAGCTAGATCTTGTTCACTTCTAACTTCCAAAACCAGCATGGCATCCAGTGACCAGGGCTCTGGTCAGGGTGAGTCCAGGTCTTGGGTAGTTCTTTCTGAAGACTGGGTGGTTGGGTGTCTAGGGGGCCAGGTCCCCAGAAGCCCTGGAGAAGCGGTGAGGGGCAAGGGCAAGGACAGTTGCACAACAGAACTGCCAACATTAACTCCTCTCTGATTCTAATCTGTTTTCCCCTCCCCGCTCCACCTACACAGATGTGCCCTTTCAATATTTATTTGCTCGCCTCTGCTGCGTGTGGCAGACTTTGTCTCAAAAGTCAGCCTGATCCCTTTGAAGGTGTTTACTAATTAGATCAGGCAGGGAAGTTAGGCAACTTCAGACATATTTATCCTGGGGAAGGTAGTTCCCTGGGCCTGAGACCCCTCACAGCCCCGGGGAGGTCAGCTGTGGGCTCCCTGCTTCCCTTCTTTATCGGAGGAAGTCCCAATGATTGCCCACTGAAGCTGAATGACAGGACATTAGTTCCTGACACGATTCTAAGAGGGATGTAAGAGTGACAGGAGCCTGATTGTGGATTAGTTGCGTGCTGGGCTCAATTTGACGCAGGCCACATGAAATCCTTACTCAGCGTGACACAGCATCTGGGCCATCAGTATTGGATCTGACGTTGGCTTGAAAGGAAAATTGCTGCTGCGATAGTTCAAGTTCAATAGACCCTCAGGTCACTGCCCTCAAGCATTTTAAAATAATATTTGCTTTGGGAGAGTCTGTGCATGTGTGTGAGGGTATGTGCTTGAGTGTGCGTGAGTGGGGCATGTGGGTGTATGTTTGATATCTGGCTGGAGGAGCTTTCGGAAGAGGCGAAGTGTAAAGCGAGAGGTAGAACTCTTATATTGTGCTGGGTCTCGAGGCAGCCTCAGCCCATGGTCCAGGCTCATTTGATTCCCGACAGCCACTTCGGCTGTTGTCACTGCTCTGATGGACAGGGAGACGGGCTGAGGATGGCTGCAGGGAATGTCTGTCTGTTGTCGTAGAGATCCCTGGCTCAGATGTCTTAGCTTGCTCCACCGGCAAGGCGACGCACTTCCTTCTCGTAGATCAGTGGCATGAAGTCCCCTGGAGGGCACTGAAAACCATGTTGGGAATGAGGCCTGCCAGCCAGTGACAGAAATGCAGGTGTCCACAGGCTGTGCTTGGCATGGCCTTCCTCTCCCCAACAGAGCCAAGAGCACCCTCCTCTCTGATCACGTGTTTGCCATGGTCCATAATTTACAGTTTCTTTTAAAATACATATATAGTTTTAAATTGATTTCAGAAGGGAAGGGAGAGGGAGCCCTCAGCCCGGGCATGTGTCTGACCGGGAATCTAGCCATGATCTCCTGGTTCATAGGTGGATGGTCAGTCACTGAGCACCACCAGCCAGGCAATTTACAGTTTCTTGGTAAGTTTACTATTAGGCTGGAAGCACCTTAGCCTTATAACCTCAGCGCCTCACTGTTCCTGGATTAGCAAGGGGTATGAGATGGACCAAATGGACACATCTCACAGGCAGATCCAGGCTTATTAAAGAATGTGGCCTCTGTTAATAAATGGAAAGCAGGTCGTCCAAGTTCGAGTTGGATGGAGAGTCATGAGGGCAGCAGGGTAGTGGGGGCCGAGCCAGCAGTACCGGCATCCATCTTCCCATTCGGGGAGGCTGGCTTCCCCTCCCCTCTCTCTGCCACCTTCATGCTGGTGTTACTCTGCTTCCTGGTTCTGGATAAATCTGAATGTGGATTAACCACTTTCTCATGTTTCTGGGGTTTGGCAGTAGAGCTTAGTAGTCAGAGCTTCTAGGACTGAAAACCCGAAACTGAATTCTGTGTCCACCACGAACAAGCTGAGTGGCCTTGGGGGTCACTGGTCTCTGTTGCCCCTCGTCAGTGTCTTCAGTGGTGCAGTGGAGGTGATGTCATTATGTTAAAGGCTGTGGTGAGGAGCAGATGAGAATCTGTGCAGAGGTCCGAGGAGAGGGTCCGGCTCAGTGTCGTGCTCAGAAATGTGAGCTCTTCCTTCCTGCAACACAGGGCTGTGCCCTTCCATTTCACACGCGGCTGGGGGAGGCCTGGAGAAAATGGATCCGCAGAGCCCGATCCCATAGACGGCAGTTATTACTGTCATTATTATTGGCTCCCCAGAACAGATCAAAAGGACAAAAGATTTTGCAACTTCCTAAGGGATTGCACAAACAAAATGACTCAGAAGTAAGCTTTGAGAATACCTTGATATTTCACTCTCAAGGGTTATGAGTCTCATATACTTTTGAGGACAAAAGACCCAGCAAGGGAATCTCTCTTTTTAATGCTTAATTTCTGAGACACACCTTTTTCCTGGGGACTGACAGCAGGAAGGATCTCTCACTTCAGAAAAGACCTTCTTTCTGTGCTCAGGGCCTTAGAATTACCTCATGTCAAAAATGCCAAAACTTCGGGCAGTAACATCACCACTGCAGGAATTTTACACCAAGCTCTTCCAATCCCCTCACTCCACACATTGTTATCATATTCGTAATAAGTAAATCTATGTGTATATAACTGTTACAATTTGTTATATATTTAAACAAAAAATGCAATTCTATCCCAACTATTATTTTGAAGTCTTTTTTTACACCTAATAATATATCATAAACTTCCTGTCAGATCAATGAAATATTTTTATACCATTTTGAATGGCTGCTAAGAATTACATAATGTGAATATATTAGAATGTCCTTAACCAAATCCCCACTTGTAGACCTATAGGCTGTTTCTAATGTTTCCTCATTAAAAACAACTCTGTGATGAACATCCTTACAGTACTTTTACATTTTCACACCAAATTGTGAGCATGAAATAAGTCACTAGTACTGGTCTTTCTAATTTAAAGGACATGCCTTTTTTAAGGCTTTTGATAAGTACTGCCTAGTTGTCCTTCCAAAAGGCTTTACCAAGTCTCTCCAAAAATCTACGACTATACTTCCCATTTTTTAAACTTCTTGACACACATAAGAAAGGATACAGGGCAAAGAGGAGAATCTGCTCAAAGGGACCAACTTCCCTGGGGCTTCAGGGTTAAGGGGAGCAGTGTCCCACATGCCCTTGACTTGTTCCATGTGTCCCAGTGTTCTGCTCCATACTGTTGGGCTGTTCTGTCTATCAGTCTTCATACCTCCCAATGACACTGGATTCTGGTTTCAGAAATAAGCCATTTTTTTTCTTAGGGAATGAGGCTAAATGGTGGTGTTGGCAGGGGAGTGGAGAAAAGACAGATGGGGCGGGGCGGGGGGGACAACAGGTGAAGAGGTGTCGACCTATGAGCTTTTCATGGGGCATAACCAGCTATTGTGGCTTAAAACTCCAGCACAATTTTCAGGCAATACTTTCTAAGAAGTCCCTAGTTTTGTTGGAGGCTAACTACGGATCATTCTTTGCATGTTCGTGGAACTCTATGGATCTGAGTAAAGAGTAATGAGGAAGGGTAACTTATTGGGGATTTCTAAGACCTGGGAAACACAGAAAGGAATCCGGCCCAACCTTTCTGTTGAGCCTTTATTATAGAGCTGATGGCAACAGCTGGTCTTTATGAAGGCGACTGTGGCTTATAAAGCTTTTATGAAATCTCTGTCACCCCTTTGGTAAGTCCTGTGTCATGCAGAAGAGTGCTGAGCATACGGCCCACCCTGCCTATGACTTCTCCCAGGTTTCTGCCACTGCCAGGGAGGGGAACTCAGCATTTTTTGGCTCTTGCCAAGAAACCAAATCGTTGAAGCTATGAGACTTGTTCCCAGTGGTAAGATCTTGTTTGATGAAAATGTAGCTTTCTGTCATTCTGGTGCGTACTGGCTTGGGTGTGGTCTCCCTAGCACCTGCTGGAATTTGATGAGTGAAGGGTAATTCTCAGATTTAAGGTCTTGGTTATATGACTTTTGTTTCTGGGAGTGTATGTCCCAAGGCTAAGTGGTCACTTGCAATTCATTCACAACTAAGGCAGCTTTGATAGTGGTATTCAACTCCATTCTCCCTTTTTCTCCAAGATCATTGTTGAACTTGCCCCTCTTTAATCACCTAGACTGTAATGGTTCTGGTTTTCTAAACCTCTGGTTGCTGTGAGCCTCTGTTAATCACTTACCTGCCCTCTTTCCTCCCATTCTTTTTCTCCACATGTTACTTGAAAGCAAAAACTCAGAATGACATATTAAGTACCTCAGGCACTTTATTCAATGACAAAGAATCAACGGTGCATGGCCTGATCTTTGATTCCATCCCATGATGATTAGGTAGGCTTTTCTGCTGCCATTGTCTTTGTAGCTTGGTTGCCATTGTTTACTTTCTGGGAATCTTGGAGATGAAAAGAATGTTAAGCTACCCACTAGCCCAGCCGCTGGCTTTCAAATCACCTCCCTGATTACCTGTCCGTCTTTCCAGGATGGTGCTTCTCACCTTGAATGACTGCTATGTTCCAGCCTTTCACTCCTGCCTTAGAAAGGTGGCCCAGCCAATTAAACACTGATTGATGCCTTTTCTTTCAATACTTGTCATCAGGAATAGGCCTCAACACCAAAGGTTTCTGCTAACCTTTGCTGTTGATAGGTTGTGTTTTTTTAAATATTTTTAATTGATTTCAGAGAGGAGGAGAGAGGGAGAGAGGGATAGAAACATCAATGATGAGAGAGAAACCTCAATTGGCTATCTCCTGCACACCCCCTACTGGGGATTGAGCCCACAACCTGGGCATGTGCCATGACTTGGAATTGAACCTTGACCTCCTGGTTCTTAGGGTAGACACTCAACCACTGAGCTACACCAGCCGGGCATGCAGTTGATAATCTTGATGTAGCCCGTTCGTGTCTTTGTCCTTCAGTAGCAGCAAGAGTGTCAGTTTGAGGAGGAAATACAATGATTGTCATGCTGAGATCTCTGCAAAGACTGATGTGATAATCACCACACAGGGCAATAAGTATTTTTTCAGAATAACAATGATGATAAAATCAATGGTGAAAACATTAGTAAAGATTAAATGGCCAGTTGGGCTTTGGTTATTCACTAGGAGAAGAAGTTTTTATTGAATGGCAGCGGGGGGCCGGAGGTTGGGGTAAAACTACTAGTTTTCTTAATCAAGGAGTGACCTCTTCTGGGGAAAGGAAGCGCTGGGGGCCGAGAACATCTGCACCCAGACAAGCAAGCTGTGCTAAAGCGGATGGTCCCCGGGGGAGAAAATCTCAGGGTAGATGTCACCCTGGGCGACCAAGTGGAAAAGAAAAAGGGACGAACTGAAACCAAAAATGACTTTCCCAGTAGCTTTCTCAGGGAGAGCACTCATAGTGAGAGCCAGGGAAGTCATGTGGGGCTGTTCCATGCACCGTGGCGGGGCCTCTGGCCAAGCACGCTGCCCAGATCCTGGAACCTGAGACCAGCCTTTCGGGTGAATGGTTTAAGGAAGGTCCAGATGGGAAGTGTATCTTTGTCTATTCCTAACTAGATGAGAAAAGAAAGGCAACGTGCCAAGCAAGGCTCAGAGAGCAGTGAGGTCTAGAAGAGCCAGGGGCTTTGGCTCAGTGGTCCTTTGGGAGCAGGTAAGGGGCAAGCCCCTACTATAGTCCTGACAATCGGACTGGGAGTGATGAAAACCAAAAAGGATGCTTTTCCTCCCCACTGAACGTCACCAACTTCATCTGAAATTCAAGGTCTTGGAAGGAGGAAGGAAATCTTTTAGGAAGCCTTCCTGGTGGCTCCAGCCCCAATGCACCCCTCTCTCCTGGTGCCTGGAGGACTTAAGCTGCGCTGGCTGGTGGAGCATTTAATCAGACATGGTTTGTGGGGCAGTGTCGCACATCACGTTTCCAAGGCCACAGGCCATGGCTTCCACATAGACCCCTGGACGGCAAGGATGCAGGGTTAATGGAAATCATATTATCCTACCCCTTGTGAAGCGGGATTTGGAAGAGCTGGAATCAGAGAAGGGAAAGGACTTGCCCAAGGGCTCCCATTCAGACTAGATTTTTCTGACCATCCTCTCCTAACGGTCAGTAGTGACTCCTCCACTATCCTCCAACTCCCTACCTTCTGCTAAATTGATTGGTAATATTAATCATACCTGCATGCTAGATTGATTAGTAACAGGAGATCGACAGTTTGTTAAGCATTTACTGCCTTCAAGTCTCTGTTCATTCATTTATTCAGCAAATATTGATTGAGTGCCTACAGTGTGCTAGAAGCTGGGGACATGGTACAGTCATCTCTTGGTATCCATGAGGGTTCAGTTCCAGCATCGGCCAGAGATACCCACATCTATAGATACTCAAGTCCCTTATAAAAAATGGCATAACAGCCCAACAAGCGTGGCTCAATGGTAGAGCATCAAACTATGAACCAGAAGGTCACAGTTCGATTCCGATCAGGGCACATGCCCAGGTTGCGGGTTCAATCTCCAGTGTATGGAGTATAGGAAGCAGCTGATCAATGATTCTTTCTCGTCATTGATGTTTCAATCTCTCTCTCCCTCTCCCTTCCTCCCTGAAATCAATAAAAAAATATACATATATTTTTAAATGGTATAACATTTGCATATAGCCCATGCACATCCTCCTGTATTCTTTAAATCATCTCTAGATTACGTACAATACCTAAAACAATGTGAGAGCTGTGCAAATACTGGTTCCACTGTTTTGTTTAGGGAATAACGACAATAAAAAAGTCTGTACTTGTTCATTACAGATGCAACCATTGTGAACCTTCATAGTCCATATAGTTAAGCCTAACAACAATGTAACCTTTTATTTTTTAGACCATGTTTGATCTGCGGCTGGTTGAATCGATGGATGCGGCACCTGAGAATGTAGAGGGTGGACTTCAGTAAGTAAAACATTATAAGCTCAGGTATTTTCAAAATTTTTATCAACAGTGATCAAACTAAAACTGTGCAGCCTCTGAAGACAAGGGTTCTGGTGCAGTGAGAGACTACAATGGAAAGGTGGGGTTGTTAGTCCAGGAGAGCTTCCTGCAGGAAGTAGCCATTCTCTTCATATCGTTGCTCAGACCTAATGTCTCCAACTCTTCTTTGCCTCCTTTTTTTGATAGTTTCCCTGATTGCGTGCTGTCCACCAGCAATGTGGTGGGCTCTGCCCCTGAAATATGTCCAGATCCACTTTCTTCTCACTCTTGTAGTTTTCCTTTGCACCCAAGCGCCCCTGTTGTTGGCACATGGTCTCTCTGCTTTTGCCCTTGCCTCCTCATGGTCTAATGTGTTCGGACAATTCTGGATCAAGAATGTGTACATCTAGCCCTAGCCAGTTTGGCACAGTGGCTAGAGCATCAGCCTGTGGACCAAAGGGTCCTGGGTTTGATTCTAGTCAAGGGCACGTACTTTGGTTGCAGGCTCCTCCCTAGTGAGGTCTTGTGTGGGAGGCAACCAATTGATGTGTTTCTTTCTCACCGATGTTTCTCCCTGTCTTTCTCTCTCTCTTCTACTCTCCCTAAAAATCAATGGAAAAATATCCTCGGGTGAGGATTAACAAACAAACAAAAATGTGTGCATCTTGTACAGCAGGACTTCTCAGAGCCTTTCATCGGCTAATCAGCACAGTGAATCTCTACCAGAGTGATACAGTATATAGCATGTTACTGACATATTTGAGCACATGGAAAGCCTTCTGGATAACCCAGAAATTGTCTATGGAAACATATTATATAAATTATTACTATCCCACATGATGACATATGGGAAATGGAGCCACTCCCAAGTTTGCTGGTCAGGTTGCCTGAGTTCTAGCTGCGTTAGCTTTTTCTGAGCCGAGTGGCCATGGGCAAGCGATTTAACTTTTCTGTGCTCAGTTTCCTCCACCCCATGACATACAGATCATAATTCCTGTTCTTTCTACTTTGCCAAGCTCTTCAGAGAATCAAATGAGATAATGGACATTAAAAAAGGGGCATCCCCTCCCCCCTTCCCCCCCGTAAACCAAAGCAAAACAAAATCCAATACCACTGTGGTGCCACCGCGGGCTCCTAAAAATACATTAACATTTCCGGTGACAACATCTCTGCACTTAATCGTAATCAATGAGCAACAAATTAACATTTGGCTTATTTATTTGAGCAACTGGGAGTAAAACCCAGGGAGTTGCTGGCTTTTGGCTAGAAATCAAACAAAATAGAGAGTTAATTGGAGCTAAGGCTGCAGAGCATGCCAGCCCGTGTCATGCATGGACATAGGCAAGAAAAGCCCGTTGCTGGACAGCATAGCCCGAAGAATGAAAAGAGCCCAGATTATGTGACTTGGGCTGGGAGATAAGAAGACCTGAAAATACCACACTTTAGGGAAAAGGCTCTAAAACTGCAATGATACTGATAAAGAATTTATTGTCGCCTTAGCTAATGGTGGTGACATGTGCTCCACGCAGAATCATTGAATGGCGTTGTGTGTGGTGATTCAGGGATGGTCAGTGGGGCAGCTTGGGCACTCTAAGCTGGCAGAGTTCTGTGGGTCTTTGTAAAGTGCCCATTCAGAGTATCTAGGTCATACTACGTCAGCAAGCTCTGCCGATGTCCCCTTCCGGACCCAAACCCTGCCAGGATCTCTTTCTCTCTAGGGTTTTCGGTTGGGACTGAATATATGACCTTGAGCTTAGGATTCTGACCTCTAAGACTAATTCACACTCAACAAATACATTGATATATTTGTGGGCCAAGCCTTTGATAACAAAAATGATGATGACAACAACTGATGATGACAGAATAAATAATGATAATAAAAAAACATAGTATCCGGCCAGGTCAGTATGGCTCAATAGTTAAGTATTGACCCTGAACCAGGAGGTCACGGTTCGATTCCCAGTCAGGGTGCATGCCCAGGTTGTGAGCTCCATCCCTAGTAGTAGGGGGCATGCGGGAGGCAATTGATGAATGATTACCTCTCATTGATGTTTCTGTCTCTCTCTCCCTCTCCGTTCCGCTCTCTGAAATAAATAAAAACATATAAAAAATATATATAGCATCCATATGGCAGCTTAAAAACCACTCATATCCAAGCCCTTCAAAATATGACCTGAAGTTGGTATTGATATCCCCACTGAACTGAAAGGAGAACCTGCAATCCAACAAATTATCAGAGGTCACATGGCCAGAGGGAGCCAGGCTGGGGCAGGAACCTGATATTTTGTCCCTCCGTCTTACTATCTTTGTTTTACATGATGATGCTTCTCTGGCCACCACTCAAGGAAGTCAGTAATCCTTCTTGGCACTCAGTCTTGGAAAAACTCTTGCTGGAGTCTCTCACACCTGGAATAAGTCCCACTGCATAAGAGGTTTTGTGTTGGGGTGCTTTTGTAGGGCAAGTTGATCTAGCTGATAGCAGAGCTGAGCTGTCACCAAATCTCTGACTGCTCATCAGAGAGTTTAGTTGGAGAGGCAACGTACATAACAGTACATAACAAATCACCTGGGCTCACCCGAACTAGCACTTACTAACTGTGTAACTGAATATGTTTGTGGCTCAGTTTTTCCACCTGTACGATGGAGCTTAGAATATTAGCCTGGCAGGGTTGTTGTGAAGCTTACGTGAATATATGTAAAGCACTTGCAACGGCCCCAGTAGGCATTAGCCGCATTGTCCGACACACATAACATGGGCTGTATACTCTTTGTTTCCCTGGTATCTTGTTATTCTCGCTTTTCCCTAACTCATCATCCAACAGTAATTATGTGTCTCCACTAGACTGAGAAGTCTTGAAGAGAGAGCGCTAGTCAGATTCATGTCTGTATCTCTAGTGTCTGGTACATAGAAAGTCCCAAAGAATATTGTTAACTAAATGTGCGGATGAATAAATACACAAATAGCTGTTCAGTGTAGCCAATTTAGAAGAATTAGATGAACTACTTCCATTACTTGTTTCTGGAAATGATTTACAGTTATAATTTCTTCTGACACAATAAAAAAAAACCCGAACACACAAGTAGGTGGATATCTTCATAAAGACTTGTCCTTCCTGTACTCACACTTTGACCAATATGTCTTAAAAAGGAGCCAGTACTCATTGGCCAAATTCTCTGCAGTTAATTCTGTGTGTTATCTAGAATGTTCCCTGATTAGGTATTGATCCATGGGGACAGAGGCTATGCTTTGTGTTCTCTTATATCCCCAACACCCAGGAACCGCTACTGTCAGCGTCTGTTGTAAATAAATGACCAGTGGCTGTTCTTTCATTTTTGCTACACATCCATTGATCAGGAAGTTTCATGCCAAAGTGCTTTCTCCACCCACACACAAACCTGAAGATTGAGGTGTCAGTGTCCTGGGAGAGAACTCAATAGACTTCAAAAGGTTTCTGTTTGCACAAAGCTATTTACCAGGATTACTGAGCAAACAGGAGAAATGGAACAAAACGATAAACACAATCTGTGCTGCTTTCCTGTGGGATTTTCTTTCAGGGTATGTCCAGTAACTGGCGAAATTGACTTCTTGGAGGAAAGAGGAGAGGAAGGGAAATAGACACGTTATCATGCACCTCTGTCTCCTGTGGGTTTTGTGGCTCTAGCTGACCATGACTCTGTCCAGCCTTTGCTAATCACTTCTTTTTTGGACTGACCTACAGTTGGGTACATAGACCCATGGCATTCCCTGGAAACACGGTGAGGTTGAGGCCGGGGAGTATGGTTTGGAGTGGAGTGACCTGGCCTTTCTCAGAAATGAGAGTTTGTTAAGTAACCGAATCCAGATGGCAGCACAGCCAGGGGGCAGGGAGCACTGTTTGGGCTCAGCTTATCAGCGTTGGCACCTTAATTGACGGGAACAGAAAGGGACACAAATATTTGGGTAGCTGCTGGGTTTCTCACAGCTAGGAGGACCACAGCTTCCAAAACAATCTAGCAGCTCCTTTAGTTTGAGGTGAACATTGTTGTCCCCATGAACAGATGAGGAAACTGAGTCTCAGGTTCCCTGGCCAAACAGTGGCAGAGCCTGGATCCAGATTCTGAGCTTTTGATGCCACATCCTGAGTTCTTTACCTACAGGAATTCTAGGGAGCCTCCACTTCTCCCAGCCCCCACCTCAGGGATTGGGTATATTTGGCTCATTGTCATTACCTAATTACTCGTGTGCTCTGAAGCTTGCCTTCATCTCTGGGCAGCTCTGGGATACAGACTCATTCAGTAGTGACAATAGATGTTGTTTTTTTCTGGGGTTTGAGAAGCACAGCTTAGTGAGAAGATGACCAGGGGGCTTTAGAACCCCCGGAATCATAACAACTTATGAACATAGAGCACTTCCTGAAGTTCCTCACACAGGAACTCACTCTTCCTTGCAATAACCTTGTGAAGGACGCATCATTGTTATATCCATTTTACAGGTGGAGAGACTGAGGCTTGGAGAGATTGACGTGTTCCAGATTGCACAGCTGGAAAGAATTAGAGCTGGGAATTGACTTGAGGCAGCTAGCGTGCTTAATCCTGACTCTGCAAATACTTGACAGACTAGGACAATGCCCGCAGTTCTCAAAGTGGTCCTCTGACCAGCCACATTGGCGTCAACCAGCAGCTTGTCACCCCAGACCTACTGAGGTGGAAACTCTGGAGGTAGGCATAGCTATCTGGGCTGTAGCAGCCTTCCCGTGTAACCTGTACTGATATATTTGAGTCTGCTATACTGCTGTGTTCTGGGGAAGAAGGACTTACACAGAACGCTGTGGGCACCGGGTGAGCTTTGTCTTGGGAAGATGTTTTTCCGAGAGGTACTGTTGTTTTAGGTTGTGGACCACACCCGAGGGAGTAGAGTAGAAGCAGAACCTCTCCAGAGAGAGGATTTGACAAGAGAAGGTGGGAAGAGGTGACATGCCAGCGCCCTTCCAAGAATATGCTGTGTTTGTAGAACAGGTATTGTTTATCCACTAAAGCTCACTGAGGTTAGGTGACGTGGCCGAGGTTATGCAAATAGCGACAAACAATGAACTCAAACCCAGACCTCTTTCTACAGAATGTCACCCCGCATTGCCTCCTAGATGAGTCCTAAACATTACAGAGACTCCCTCTGACTCATGAGAAATTCTCCCCAGTCACCATCTTCCCCTGAAAAGACAACCTGGAATGAGGGGAAGAATTAAAACAATAGTAGGATGATGGTCCCAGGAGCAGGTAAAGGTTAGGGGAGGGGTTCAGAGAAGGGCAGAAAGGAGACTGGGATGACTTCATGGTACCATTCCACAGATGACTGTCTCCTCATGTTAACCACTATAGGCCGATGCCTCTCCAAAGAGGACAAAAGGCACGGTGAGGGGAGAAAGAGGCCTGTCTCTGACATCTTTTTTGGAAGTTGAAATTCTAGGAGTGTGTTCATGTTAACATGGCTCTTAGGAAAGAGTTTGGGGCAAAGGCTGTCAACAAGGACTTTTAACGGGGTTGGAGCTGTTTTAGAATCAACTGTGGAGTAAGGGCCATGATGAGGTCTGGAGAAAAACACCCTGAGGGTTGATCTTATCAACACTCCCCCATGTTTCTGCTGTCAGCAGAAAATGAACATGCCCATCTAGAGATGCCTAGAAGGAACCAGAAATCACCCGGGTGACACATGCAGAAAGAGGGGCATGTGCCAAAGCTAGGAAGGGGCTTCCCCTCTCAGAAGAGCGTGAAGATTTCAGTGAATGCATTCATGTTAGCACGGTATTTTGATTTTTCACACCTTCCTCTTAATACATACTTGTATCTCCTCGAGTTTCTGCCCAGGTATCCATCCCTGCAAAAACAAAGCTCCCTAAGAGCCAGAGCAAAGCTTCAATGTTTTATATTTCCATAATCTAATAAACCAACCTCCCCACCTAAACTTGACCCCACTTTTTTCTCCTTCTCTAGTATCCTATATTTTCAGCATTTTTCTTGCACAACTGATAATCTTATCTAACTATCTATCTATCTATCGATCTATCTACACACACATAGGCCTGACCATGCCCATTCTCAGCAATACTGGAAATCAAAACAGTGTGCTTCCTTTAATCCTCTCCCTGGGCAATTCCTATGACTGTTCACTCCCCACTATTAGCATGCCAACAAAATAATAGGGATCTTCAGAAAACGTTAAAGAGAAATGGTTTAAATGCAGCAAAACCTTGGAAGTATTCGTTGACAAGCATTTAATGAGATAATTATAAACCTTTTCCACTTCAGTCATAGCTCAAAAAGTCTAAACCTTTCTAGGTATCACATTATTAATCTGGTTTAAATGAAAGACTGAAAAATATTTCTCTGAATAAATTATAATCCTGAACCCTTCATGTCAGTCTTGTTGACTCCCATTGGTGGGCCAAAATGGGGAATTTTATGCTCAATTCTGGGGTCTCCCTAGGAAGAAGATAGACTGACAGAGTGGTCGTCTAATCTGTGTTGAATCTGATGTCTGTCACTTAATAGCTGTGACACACTGGGAAAATACTCATTATCTCTAACCCTCCATTTTCTCACCTGAAAAATGGGACAGTGGTGGAGGGTAGTTTTGGCACAGTGTCTGCAACAAAGTAAGGATGCAGTACATGCCACCTCTAATTGCTTTGGTCAACATGTTAGTCTCCAGGCTGCCCTTGAAATGAGCACCTTTTACAAAGATAGCTGTAGTTGTCATCTTTAAGAAGTGGATGATGCCATGTGGGAGACACAATGTCAGTCTGTCCAACCAACAACAGTCAGCCAGGAGTGGTGAGGCACTGTTTGTATTCTTGGCATCGTGCTGGGCACCAGCATTATATTCTGAACCTGATGGGGCTTTTCTGGTTGCTAAAAATAACTCTATCCTGTCAATTAAGGGTGGTTAAGAAATACCCAAGGAACTGATGTCTATTTGTTTTGCAGTAATGAGGTTCTTTGTGTTGGATTGTCTGATCTTGTCACTTAAAATGGTCACCTCAGGTTGCCTGAATTGATCCTCTCCTGCAGTTGGCGGAGAACCATAGATATACTAGTAGATAACATGGCAGCATAGAGGACATGGAAGACTAGGAGCTGGGCAGTGTTGGTCTTTACCATGCCTATCCGCACATCATCACCGCAGGCAAGTCACCTCACCATTCTGGGACTCCTGATCCCTAAAGTAAGCATGTAAATAGCCACCCATGTCGTTTCGTTGGTTATTTCAGAGTAAAAGATGAAATTATTTTATTGTGGTCTTTATTGAGAGTTCTTTCAGATGCTAGAACTTTCCTGGGTCAAGAAATAAGAGAATGATTTTTCTTTCCTGATCAGTTCTTTCCAATTCCCTGAATAAAAATCAAACTAAATGGCCGAAACCGGTTTGGCTCAGTGGATAGAGCGTCAGCCTGCAGACTGAAGGGTCCCAGGTTCGATTCTGGTCAGGGGCATGTACCTGGGTTGCAGGCGCATCCCCAGTGGGAGGTGTGCAGGAGGCAGCTGGTCGATGTTTCTCTCTCATCGATGTTTCCAACTCTCTATCTCTCTCTCTTCTTCTCTGTAAAAAATTAATAAAATATATTTTAAAAAATCAAACTAAATGTAAGAGGAGATCTTAAAAATGGCTCTTACTTGATCACCTGGAAGTCTGAATGGACTAGTGTGGAAGTTCAGGTCCTTGGAGAAACACACACTAAGACAGGATTAGATTCCAAAGAAATTTCCTGGAGGGAATACCTATGAAGAAAGAGGGAGGAAGCAGGAGGAGGCAAGGAGAGCCTTCAGATAGGATGCAGGTCCCACACCTGTGAAAGGAAAGGAGGAAGGAGCAAAAGAGTCTCAGGTTGGAATGCACTTCTAAAATTTAGTATTTGGCTAGGTCGATGAGAGTTCTTTTTTTTTTTTAATGTATTTTATTGATTTTTCACAGAGAGGAAGAGAGAGGGATAGAGAGCTAGAACATCGATGAGAGAGAAACATCGATCAGCTGCCTCCTGCACATCTCCTACTGGGGATGTGCCTACAACCAAGGTACATGCCCTTGGCCGGAATCAAACCTGGGACCTTTCAGTCCGCAGGCTGACGCTCTATCACTGAGCCAAACCGGTCAGGGCTCGATGAGAGTTCTTGAGCCAAAATTGCCACCTGGCCATGATGGCTCAGTGGTTGAGTATTGACCTATGAACCAGGAGGTCACTGTTCAATTCCTGGACAGAGCACATGCCTGGGTTTCAGGCTCGATCCCTCGTGGGAGTGTGCAGGAGGCAGCCTCTCATCATTGATGTTCCTATCTCTTTCTCCCTCTCTGAAATCAATAAAAAAATATTTTTTTAAAATTGCCCACAAGAGCAGTTCCGTGTCTCACAGACGTGGCCCTGGACTAGCTCCCTTCCCGTGCTTAGTCACTGACAGGGAGCAGCCTGAGGGAGGTGTGGCCTTGGTTTGGACACAGTAGTGTCTGGGACATCAGTCAGCTGGGCTACGCATCACAGGAGACCTGAGCAGTGTGTCTTCATGGCCGCCCACCGAACTGTCCGAGATTTCTTCTGTAAAACACAGATCTTAACGAGTTTGAAAAACAACCAGATCATTTGTAATAATATATTTTTTCTACCCTAAATCAATGTCTCATTCTCCCCTTTGACTTTCACTTCCCCCTCTGTTTCAACTAGACCAATCGAGTTGAGCCCCACCCAACTTCGTGGAGTTCCTCATGTGACAATTTTAACAAGTCGACATGTGAATCAGCCACATGAACTTTCTTTGTTTTACCTTCTCAATGAGTTACAATATACTCTCTTGGGTTTCAGATATTGTCCAGCTATAGTCTCTGCCGGTGTATTTTAGAATTTCTTTGTGTACACTATATTATTTTCCTAAAATTTAAAAAATGATGATTAAGGAAACATATCAAGATATAAGTTTTTAGAACTGGTCTAATCAGTTACCTTTAAGGGTTTATAATTCACAAAGTATTAGGTTCATGTCCCTTGGACTGCTTTATTCTGCTTGGCAACAGGGACTCGCAGCAGTTTTCCAGCTCTCCATCTTCACCCCACATCACCCCCGTCTTTCTTGTGACAAGCTTGTACTATATACAGCATGGATACACTGAACAAAGAGGATTCACATCCTGGGTGGGACAGATGGGATGGTGAGAGATTTTATGCTTCTCAGAGGGCATGCAATTGAAAACTTATGAATTGTTTACTTCTGGAATTTTCCATTGAATATTTTAGGATCATAGTAGATAGACTGCAGGTAACTAAAACCACAGAAAGCAAAACCAGGATGAGGGGGACTGCTGTAATAGAGGCTGAAATAGTGGAGAAAGACTTCTCAGAGGCCATTGGACTTCAACTTTAAACCTATTCAAAGGGTTTTGAATGTTGGTTTGGAGGATCAGCACAGACTATTAGGGGGACAGCATTATATAGAGTAGCCCAGTGCGCGAATTGGTGCACCAGTGGGGTCCCTTGGCCTTGCCTGTGGGATAGGGCTGAAACTGGCTCTTCGATATCCCCCGAGGGGTCCTGGATTGTGAGAGGGCACAGGCCAGGCTGAGGGACCCCACCAGTGCATGATCAGGGCCAGGGAGGGACACAGGAGGTTGGCCAGCCAGGGAGGGACTGCAGGAGGGCTTTGGGGCGTGTCCGGCCTATCTCACTCAGTCCCAGTCGGCCGGACCCCAGCAGCAAGCTCACCTACCAGTCGGAACATCTGCCCTCTGGTGGTCAGTGCACATCATAGTGAGCAGTTGAGTGGCCTTAGCATATCATTAGCATATTACACTTTGATTGGTTGAATAGATAACCAGACACTTAGCATATTAGGCTTTTATTATGTAGGATAGTGTTCCTCTTGGAGTCTGTCTGGTCAGTGGGGATCCTGACCATACTTACTAGCTGTGTGATAGTTAAGTAGAACAACTCACTGCTGTACTTCACTCTCTTCACGTGGAAAAGGTAACTCGCTCATAGGGCTGTTGTAAACAGTCAGTCAATTTGTTAGGCTCTAGGCTAACTGGGCAGGACACTTGAAGATCCACATAGCAGAAATAATGTCTCTATTGCAGCTCCTGAACTCTGCCATTGCAGTGTGTTATGCCTTGTCCCCCACAAAGTCCATATGTTGAAACACTCCCCCCCCCCAATACGATGGTGGGGCCTTTAGGAGGTGATTTGGTTTAGGTGAGGCCATAAGGGTGGTGCCTCTAAAAAGATTAAGAGACTAGATCTCTCTCTCTGCTCTTCACCATGTGAGGACACAGCAAGAAGATAGCCATCTATGCACCAGCAAAAGGAATCTTACCAGACACTGGGTCTGCCAGCACCTAGGTCTTGGACTTCCCACACTCCACAACTGTGAGATATACATTTCTGTTGTTTAAGTCACCAGGTCTGTGGTGTTGCGTTATAGCAGGCTGAACAAACACAGACATACTGGAAAGCATTGGGGACAGTAGGTAAATGAATGGTGGTGGCTGTATGTCAGCAAAATTTTATTTGTGGACAATGAAATCTGATTTCATATCATTTTTACACATCACAAAACATTGTGATAGGTTTGATCCGCCCCCCGCCCCCGCAATGATTCAAAAATGTAAACCATTCTTAGCTCTCCGACCATACAAAAACAATTGGCGTGCTGGATTTGGTCCAGGAGCTATAGTTGCTGACCCAAGATAGAGCATCAAGTAACTTGTTCCAAAAGCTAGTCCCATTTATCAGATAGGAAAGTGGAATCTAGAGAATTCATGCAAGATTCTGGACAAGAATTTCTGCTACATGCATCTTCCAGCGTCTTGCCCGGTCAAAAGGGAAGAATTGCAACAATTCCAGGTACGGAATCTGAACTTCTTCCTCACCATGGATTGCTCTCTGCTGATCAGCTGTTTTTACATATTATTTTTAGAACTTTCAAAATGGCAGCCACAGAAAGCCAATACCCAAAACAGAAGCCAAAGAGAACTAATATGAAATCAACTTCTCCAGTGAACACTAGTTATTTACTTTGGATTCGGCCACTAAGCCTAGGATAGAAATGAATGAAAATATACCCAAAGGCATATATATGAGCATGAGGAGTTAGACTCTCTGTCCCCCCACCAAAAAAACCCCAAAAAACTGGGTTGGACTTTTTACTTTAAAATACACTCTTGAATTTAATGATCTGTGACTTGCTCCTTTCCCCTCAGCTCAGCAAGCTTCCGCACTCCCCTTCTCCTCCTCACTTTTGGGGAAATAATGGATGTCTCAAATAAAAACAGGTGTACATCACTGTATGAATAAAATGAATAAATATGATGTGCCTGGAAATAGTCCTTAATTGGAAGCTATGTTTTTCCCTTAGCCTGAGGGAAGGCATAGCTTACATTTGTGTGTTGCCTTGGTTTTTTGAAGGATTTCATGTACAGTTAGCTTTTTTTTTTTGCAGATTTTTTTAATTGTGAAAAAAGGTGTTTGCATGCTCTACGAATTTATCATTTCTCCCTCTTCCACCCCAGGGTAAGTTGTATGGTCAATGAATCACAATGAACTGTCCCTTAGCTGGTTGCCCTGCCCCCTCCTAGTCTCTTATCCACGTCACAGGGACTCTGCATCCACGTCAACCGACAGTTTACAGAAGAGCCGATGCTGGCTCATGCCTCCGTGCCTTTGCTCACACAGTTCCTTTGGAATTGAATGGTTTCCACCCTTAAAGCAGGCTATCTTGGGTGCAGAGCAGAAAGAACAAAGGATGCAAATTTGAGGAAGTTCTAAAGTAACCAGGCTGCCAAACACCAGAGGGATGCCAAGCTATTCTGCGTGTGTATGTGGTCACCTTTTTGTAGAGAGGTCAAAGGCTTTTGCCAACATCATCTCTAAGCTTCAGTGCTTCCAAGTGACTTTTTATTTTTTAAAACATATTTTATTGACTTTTATTTAGAGAGAGAGGAAGGGAAGGGAGAGGGAGATAGAAACATTGATGAAAGAGAACATCCATTGATCAGCTGCCCCCTGCACATCCCTCACTGGGGATCAAGTTGCAACCCAGGCATGTGCCCTGACCAGGAATGGAACTGACGACCTCTTGATGCATAGGTCGATATTCAACCAATGAGTCACACCGGCCGGGTCCAGGTGACTTCTTAAAGGAAGGAATTAACAGACATATGGGCAGTAAAAGAAAACTCTACAGGAGAATGAAGATGAAGATAATCAAAGAATGACCTTTATTTGGACATTTTCTATGTGAGACTATGTTGGGCTGTGATGGGCCTGATTCCTGGACTGACTGGACTTGGATTAGATCCTGAGTCCTACTATCTGTCATTGTTCTTCTAAAATTGTAAAGGGATCCTTTTTTATTTCTAGTCAACAATCATGTTGGGGGCCCCACCGAAGCGTTAAGGATGTGCTAGGTGCTAAAGTAGGGGTTGTAGTTAGAGGCACAAAATAAAACTAAAATGGTCCTTCTTCTTGCAGTCCATGCAGTCTAATGGGAGTAGACACATATGTATAGACATTTTCAATGCAACACGTTAAAGGATCAGATAGCAGTGACACAGGATACCATGGAGCCTAAAGAGGAACATCTTAGCCTTCGATGGGAAGGGCCAGGGAGGGTTGTCTAGAAGATCCAACCCCTCAGTGTCTTATCTACTGTTGGTCCAGCTTCAAAATTTCAGCCTCTCAAAGCTGGCTATCCCTGTGATCACAGCATCCATCCAACGGAATTGTCGCCACTTCCTTAATTCTCTGATGGGATGTAACTTCACAAGACAGGGATGGTTTGGATTTTGCTCATAACATGCCCTCACCACGTGACAGTACCCGACACTTAATAGGTACCTTATAAATATGGGTTGTGTGCCAAGCAAGAAGGTATTTGCACATGAATTTTCACCCTTCCCTCCAAGTGCTGAGGGGAATTCTGTTGTACTATTTAATGACGTCATACTGCATTCCGAACTCTGAGCCAAGTCTCGAAGGAAACAGCAAAATAAGGAAAAACATGTTTTAGAATATTTGGACCCAGAGGAGCCTTGGATGCCGGTTGATTCTCCGCCACGGTTGTACAGATAGATGGTTGAAGTTCAGAGAAGTTGTGCTGTAATTGTTAGAACAGGTCACCCAGGTAATTAGTTTAGAGCAAGTCGAAAGACCAGGTGTCTCCATTTCCACCCTCAGTTCCTTCCTCTGAGTCCCACATGCTCCTCTGTCGGTTACAGATGTGTAGGGGGGAGAGGAAGGATTCCGAAAAGGACTCGTTGCTTCTGCTAGCACGCAGACCACTTCTGAATTCCTCAGGAGCCTCATCTTGCAAATAAGGCTTTGTGGAACAGAATATTTTATGTGATAGGATTATGTTCTACAAAAACCCCCCAAAAATGTAAAGGCTGCTTTCTTCGGCGATAAGTAATTGCTCCTGGCAGGAGAGCCTTCTGCTTTATAGAAAAGACCCCTTCTCCCGCTTTCATCTGATAGCTCAGTGAGGCCCCAGAGGGAAATGTTAGGAACAAATGCTTATTTGAGCTATAAAATTCCCTTGAAAAGTGAAGCTTGAAATCCTTTAGGGATCCCAGTGTTCTTTCAGGATTGATTTTGACACTGTAGAACTAACATCCTAACTAACTTCCAGGCCTAAATATATTGTGACTCGTGCTTGGAGAGTTTAAAGAATATTTTAAAATAAGTTTTCATATCAAGAGCAAAAAGACATAGTTTGTAGTCTGTGACTTTAGAATTACCCTTAAGTAGCATTTGCTACAGTGGTGCCAGGAAGAAGTGAGAACAAAGGATAAGTTGCAGGGGATGAGATTCCGTCCTAATAGAAAAATCTTGAACCAGGAGGTCACGATTTGATTCCTGGTCAGGGCACACGCCCAGGTAGCAGGCTTGATCTCCAGCGGGGGGTGTGCAGGAGGCAGCTGATCAGTGATTCTCTCATCATTGATGTTTCTATCTCGCTCTCTATCCCTCTCCCTTCCTCTCTGAAATCGATAAAAACACATTAAAATAGAATGAAATAATAAGTAAACTGAGGCACAAAAAACTATTGGAACTTACTGGAGGTGATATTCTAGGAAGTGGTGGAGTTCATGTTCAAGCATAGGCAGTTTGGTTCTAGTGCCCACTGTTTGTTTTTGTTGTTTTCCTTTAAGTTAAAAATTTAAATCTTAAAGTAACATAGTCCCTGTTGGAATACTTCCTGATCCCAAAATTGTACTTACATGAATTAACAGAGACACACACAAATATTTATGTACAAGAATGTCCTTCAAACCTTTCCCTCCAATAATAGGAATTGGAAATATTCCAAATGCTCAACAATTAAGGGTCTATTAAGTGCTTGATTTAAAAATGGAAAAAAGAAAGAAAAGCTCAAAGAAAAATATGAAGTCACTCATAATTCTTCTCCTTTGAAATAACCACAAAGAAATTGCTGAGCAAATGTTTCCAGCTTTCTCTCTGCATTTTATTTCAGATATGAAATTGGGATCATACTGCATATATTGCTTCATGATCTGACTTTTCTTTATAGATCATATTATAAATCATTTCCAAGCCATTAGTTATTAGTCTAATTACTCATTTAATGTCTTCCCAGTATTTCATCATTTATACAAATTGTGATTTATTTAACAAAACTTCTATTGTTAGATCTGAGCTCTTTTATAGATTTTTAAAAAATGTATTTTTTATTTCAGAGAGGAAGGAAGAGGGAGAGAGAGCTAGAACATCAATGATGAGAGAGAATCATCAATCAGCTGCCTCCTGCATGCCCCCTACTGGGGACCAAGCCCGAAACCTGGGCATGTGCCCTGACAGGGAATGGAACCAGCAACTTTTCCATCACAGTACACTGTTCAGGGCTAGACTCTACTTTCAAGAGGCTTAAAGTTTCATTTTAGAATCATTGCCTACATGTATGAAACACTATTGGGAGGAGATGTGTTGTAATTCCGCCGTGGCATACTCTTCTACTTTTAGTTGTCCAGTGAACATCTGCTTATTGTGTAATATTCAAATGCATCCTCCTGGGAAAATACTTCTCCATCTCTCCTTGCCTCGTGTAAGTATCTCAATCTTGATTCTTAGGGTTTCATATTCAAACGTCCACTAAAACATGTAGCATTATATTAGCATGATCTCAGGAGTGTGAGCTTCTCCATGGTTGAGAAATGCCCTGCCAATTTCTCTGTCTCTGTCCACCTGGAATAATGGCCAGCAAAAAAATGCATTTTTATTTTTCTTCAAAGAGGCTTGTTGTTGCCCTTCACCACAACTCTTCTTTAAAAAACCTCCAAACCCCAAAATGTGGCACTGCAATTTACTACTGCTAAACAAATGTGTAAATGTAATGACTGTGGTTACCCAGTTGTGCCTGTGGAAGGCTTCCTTTCTTTAAAAAAAAAAAAAAACCCAGCACAAAAAGCAGGTAAACACTTTGATTTGTCATGTTTCTAAAGCACTATGTGTCACCACTTCTTCGTGCCATGTTTGGTCTTCTGGGTCACAGTGCCTCCTAATGTCTTCTTTACCAGGATTTCTTCTTCTGTCTCCTGGAGCCACTCTAAAGTGGAATACAGTGTTCTCTTCAACACCTTCTTCAGGTGGGATAGGCAAATCTTGTTGCTTTGCAGGAAGAGTGATGTTTAATTTGTTTTCTTATGATTCAGAGACTATGATTCATTACCCAGGTCTGTCTCTTCTCCTCTCCTTTTTCCCTATTCCTGTCTCCCTTGCTCCATCTCTGGGATGACATGCTTCTCATACCCCACATCCCCCTTTATGAGTTCTTTCCATTCTCTTATGGAGATACTGCATTCAACTATGTATTCATGGTTCAAATGTACTTTGACCCTTGAGTCTCTCCATGGTGCCAACCTTAATCTCCAGGACTTTCCAGTGAATGGACAATTAAGTCTCAATGTGTTATAGTGAAACTTCCAGTAAAGAAAATCTGGTCCATTTGTGGGTTAGGTGTCTATCCCTGGTCCAATAAGCTGATACCAACTTGGAGAGGGTCATGTGGAATATGACACCTGGATCTCAAAAAAGGAGACTGGAAGTGAGTAATGAATTGGCTGTTAGGACATATGCAGCAATTTATAACTCCTTCTTCCTGCTCTTCTAATCCTACCTAATAAATATTTCTCATATATATATTCCCCTCCCACAGTTTTGGCCCTCATATATTCTTGCTTAGATCACTGTGATAGTCTCCTACTTGATCTACATGCTTCTGCTCTCCTCCCCCATGCTAATATACATTCTACATTGCTGCCTTTGGGAAACATATAGTCTTCATACTATTTTCCTAATTCAGAATCCTTAATTGCCTCCTACTTCTTATGAAATACAATATAAATAGTTGTAAAACCAAATCCCTTTCTACCTGCTCCATCCCCCTGCTCACTAGTCCTCTACTTGGACTAGGATAGTTGGTCTACTGTTTTGAGTGGTTTGCTGCTCACAAGCTCACAGTTCTCAGCATTCCTCTTCTCTGGGAGCTTCTGTAGCTCTTTGTATCACAGTACATATAAGAATGGCTAGAACACAGATGGGGCTCAACAAATGGTTGTTGAATGAATGAGATATGAAGAGATATGAGTAGACTATAAGAAGCAGGGCTCTGGTCATGACATTATTAGTCACCCATCTTAATAAGTTTTCCTAAACTTTACTTCTTGACTCCTTAGGCGTCCAAAAAAAAATTGTAGAAATTACAATGAAAAAAAAAATCTGTTTAGTCTTCTAATTAATGTATAGAGTGACTCAGCAAAATGTCAAGTTTTTCTAACTTTGCTGGAATGAAATAAATTTAGTATAGTAACACAACCTCATGCTAATTACAAACCCTAATTGGCATCTTTAATGAACAAAACTATGAAACATTAAAATTGCTTTAAAATAGTATTTTTAAAATGCATACACAACCATTTTCAAACTTTAAACCTATTGGGATAAAAATAATTTGCATAAAAACTGGAAACTGCCTTTAAAAATCTGGGACTTAGTTTTAATATCTATAAAATGAAGATTGATTGACCTCCTAGATATCTTCTAGTGCAGATATTATATTTTAAAAATAAACCAAAATTACCTTGGTTCTTATCTTTATCCATTGCTGTGCCACAACAGGGACAGGTGTCCTATCTCTGTCCATTCCCAATTTCTGAATAGGGATTGGCCTATAATAGGAGCTTAAAAAAAAATACATGTTGACTAGATATAGCTGATCAAGCTCTGAGCAGTTTCTGTAAAGGAAGAAAAATAATTGCATCCCAGGATATAGGCAAACCATTTTGGGAATAATGCTAAGTTAAACCTTACTGACATTTACAAAAATACTTTTAGAGGCCACTTGGAAACATATAATTGGCAAGTAGAACTGGATTGCTGGTGGGAAGGGAATTAGGTAGGAATACAGCAAACCAAGCTTTCCGTTGGGAATGGCTATGGAGAGCAGATGGTGAGAAGAAATTGGTAAAAAGTTTTAAAAAGAAGAAACAGAGACAGTGACTGCCCACTGAATTTAACTCTGCAGCATTGCTACACATGAGTCTCTTTCTTTGATGCATGAATGAAGAAATAAAAGGAAGACGAGCCATGATATCTGAAGCAAAGACTCAAAAGATAGAATTTGTAATGTCATGATGATGATAATGATGATATTTGTCAACATTTTATGATCTTTTACTATGTATGACACCTTGTATAATGGATATAAGGAAAGAAGATAATAGATTAAAGGGGAATTTAATGAGATTATCAACTAAAGGGTCTTAATGTAGTTGGAGTCAATGGATATTAAGTCCTCTTTTCTCCCCTTAGGGTCAAACAGACCTATATTTGAATATAAGCACACAATTACTAAACATGTGACCCTCAACAAGTTACTTATTCTCTCTGAGCTCAGATTTATTATCTGTGAAATGGGAAAATTACTACTTAGTTCATGAGGACAATTGTGCTAATTAAATGAAATATTATATGAAGAAGTAATTTGTTTACTTCCATGCAAATATGACATTTCAGATATTAACTCTTCATATTATTAAGCAGTTAGATAAGATGCATGTGCACAGCCATGAATAATTAGCAGTAGGTAATTACGTAGGAGGAGTGGCAACAAGCGTCATGGGACAATAGCTGAGTGAGATGAGGCAAGAGAAGTAATGGGGGCCAGATTACATTGGATCTTGTAAACCTCCGTCTACAAAAACTCTGACTTTTATTTGAGTGAATAGGGACCCAGTCCAATAGGGGGGTGTCATAAAATAATATATATCTTAAGAGAATCACTTTGGCTGCAGTGCTTAGAGAGACTATAGGAAGTTAAGGAAGGAGGGGGAAAGTCAGGCTATTGCAGTGAATCAGGTGAAAAGTAACAATGGCTTGAACCAGAGTGGTAGCGGTAGGGTTGGTGAGGAGTCATTAGAGTCAGATATCTTCTGAAGATAGAGCCAAGAGTATTTCCTGACAAGTTGAGTGTGGAATATGAGAGAGAGAGACAGCATCGATGACACCTTTTCCAAGATTTTAGCCCAAGCAACCAGAAGGATGAGCTGCCATCTGTTGAGATGGGAAAGCTGCAGCTAGCCCAAGTTTGAGGAGGAAAGATTAGGAATTGAATTAGGATATGTTGAGTTTGAGAGGTTGGTTAGGTATCCAGGGACATATATCAAGTAGAGCATTGAAAAAACTAGTCTCAAATTGTGGAGATGCATCTGGCCTGAAGACATACATTTGGGCTTCGTTGGCATGTAGATAGATGGTATTTAAAGAGATTTATGTATATCTTCATGTAGATAGGTGGTATTTAAAGAGATTCCGTGTGTCTGACAGCTGCTCTTTCCCCAAGATTGGTTTCACCTTGTTTTAGCTTAGGTCCAAGAAGTGAGAGTTCTCCTTTCTTTCATCCCTTCCATCTCTCTGCCCTTCCCCAATGACTCTGCGCTTCTCCAGAGGATAGTTCGATCCATCCACATCTCAGGTCCCTTGTGCTTTGTGTTTATTCCTTTGCCTCTACTCAGCTTCCCCTGTGAAATGACTGCCATACTTGTTTGGGATTATGGTTCAAGCCACAGGGGTGGGAATAGGGGGAGAGGGGGGAGTAAAGCTGAGTGATGCAGGAAGTGACCTCATGACCTAAGATTTGGGAGTCCGGTACACCAAGCACTGAAAATTTCAAAGCAGAGGATTTTTTCTTCTGTGTCCAAGAGTTAGGTGTTAATCAGCATCCTCATCACAAGTGCAAGTTTATTTACTTTTTATATTCTAGGGAAAATTTTAGATAGGATACATGAGAATTGCCATTTGCCTTCAAGCAGTGTGTGCCGTAGTGGGGGAAGTTGGTGCTTACTCATGAGAAACCACAATGTATTCAGAAGAAAAGAATGAGACAATGGGTGGCAGGAGGGGTTACCGAGAAATAAATTATTCTTATTTGATCATCACATTCCAGATTAGATGTTATATCATCAGCAAAGTCCTCATTAATTCCCCATAAGAATGATCAAGGGAGCCATGGTGCTCCAGAAAAAGGAATACTATTTTTGTAAAAATCACATACCTCCTTTGTAAGAAAAATATAAAAAGATGAAAATAAACAAAGAAAAAGAAAACTTCATGACCAGAGATAACCATGAGACTGTCCTTTGGGTATTTTTTCTTTGTACATATTTGTCTAATAAAAAATGAGGTCATGCCCAGCTGGTATGGCTCAATTGATTGGATGTCATCCCATGTACCATGAGGTCACTGGTATGATTTCCGGTCAGGGCACATAACCCAGTTGTTGGCTTCATTCCTGGTAGCGGACGTGCAGGAGGTAGCGAATAAATGTTTCTCTCTCATCGATGTTTCTCTCTCTCCCTCCCTCTCCCTTTCTCTCTCTCTAAGAAAAAATCAATAAAAACATATATTTTTTAAAATGAAGTCATACTATACTCTTTGTAGCCTCTTTTCTCATGAGACAACAGAGCTGGAGAGTTTTCCATGTCTCTAATCATTTGACTACATCATTTGGCTACCTTCCAATTATGAATATTATGGCTTTATCATGATGGCAAGATTGTGGCTTGTGTCTTCAGCATCCAGAACAATGATGAGTGACGGGATATTCTCAAAGCCACAGAATATTAGAGTTTAAAGCTCCCTCAGGCATCATCTAGTTAACTTCCTATTTTGCAGATGAGAAAGTTGAAGCTCAACATGTTAAGTAGACTGATAGGTCAGATGGTCAGAAAGCTGCAGAACCAGAATTGAAACCCAGTGCCTGAACTCCAAGCCCAGGGTTCTTTCAGTATAACATCCGGATTCTGAGTCAACCCACCATCTGTGCAGTAAAAGGAGCGGGTACACTGTGCAGGAGGAGTTAGAGGAGAAGATAACACCAGAGGTGACTGTGGTTCTTTTGGAACTTTCAGTTTTACTTCAAACCCTGGGACCCCAGAGTCTCATAGAGAGGTAAAGTTGCAGTGTGAGGAATGGAGAAGGGGCAGATTGAGGAAAGGAACTCGGGATCTCAGGTTTGCAAAAGCTACAGTTGTACAATAGCTCAGCTCTAGCCAACGCCCTGAGGGGTGCAAAAAAAGACCTAGACGAGTCTCAATTCTAGTTTCACATTATTACTGAAGGGCCCCCATTGCTTAGCTCTGAGTCCTGGTAAGCCTATTCTATTCACGTTTCAACTTCGCTCATGGTCATGGGTGATTTTCAGTTTTGATTTTGACAACCCAGAATGTTCTTGGCTTCCTGGAATCACTCGCCACGCCTCCTTGCTGTGGAGAGAGGAGAAGGGTCATCTGGAAGCTGCCTAAAACCTTCCCATGGCCTCGGGGTAAAAAGTTCACGTCCCTCTGTGAGGCATGGGTGATTCTCCACAACCCGGGCTTTCCCCACCTGGCTTGTCTCCACCATTTTGTTTTCAGCAACATCAAACTTCCTGTAGGTCCCCTCACAAAGCCCTTCTAGTTTTTCATCCGTTTCCTGCTTTCTAGAATGCACTTCCTCGCCTTTTACCCTGGTTAGCCCCACTTAGCTAAATTTGGTGTCCTCCC